TGGAATTTTGAATTTTCTTACCTTTTTGTTGCATCTTGATGAAGCATCATCCATAATAGTGGTTTTCTTTCGTGTTTTTTTTTTTTTATTTGAAACTTTTTTGCTGCCTCATGATGTTGTATCATCCATGACAGTGGTTTTGTTTCATGATTTTTTGGATTACAACGATATAAATTGAAAGTCTCTAGCTAACCCTTTGCTTTTTCCAGGGAAAATGATGTGGGGAAATCAAAAGCCGAAGTTGCCGCAGCATTTATCAATAAACGAATATCAGAGTGCAACGTTATTCCGTATGCTTATCAACACAACTTGCTTTTTTTTTACAAATTTACTGTTAGAAGAGTGGAAAATTCAAGGCCGTGTTAGCTACAGTTTATTGAATTTTAGGCATTTTTGGACCCAGTTCCCATTTCTCTTCTCGCCTGTCTTATTTTAATTTGTGTTGAAATTTCCAAACGTCCTGACTTATGAGCACGATATCATTGTTAGAGCCATATCAGTATTTCATTGGGTGATCGAAATAAGCACTGTTTTGTGAAAGCACCGAAACATTTTTTAACAATTTTTTAAAAAATTTTTTATAAAACTAATTTTTAAAAAAATTTAAAAATTGTAATTCTTTTCCATTTTCTCTTTTTCCTTTTTCCTTCTTTTTTCTTTTTCTTTCTTTCTTTACATGTACTTTCTTTTTAACTACTACTAACTTTCAAATATTGATGAGCTTCATTGCAGGCATAACTGTAAAATACAGGATAAGGATGATAGCTTCTATCGTTCATTCGATATTGTTATTTGTGGCTTAGATTCCATCGATGCAAGGCGTTGGCTCAACGCAAAGTTGGTTAGTTTGCATACAGCGATTCCGGAAGTATCTTCGCGCCCTTTATAAAATAATTGGCCAACATACGGGCTGCCCGTGCGAAGATGCGTTTTTTGCATAGCTCCCCGCAGATTTTTGTCGCTAACGGCACTGGTTTTTCCGACAGATGCTTCTAGCTGAAAGAATTTCAGACTGGCCGCCAGAAATGTCAGGAAACATCTCTTCAAAATTCTAGTCTTCTAGCTCCTCACGTTCTCGAGTTAGCAACTTACCCGGGAGGAACTTTCACGGGTAGGTACCACGCTTATCCGCGGTCAGGGTTTGAGCTCGTTAATACCCACTTGGGCAGGGAACATCCCTATAAGATTTTAGCGTTCTAGCTTCTCAGATCCCCGAGTTATGAACTTACCCCAAAAAACTTTGGCGGGTCTGTACGCGAGTACCATGCGTGTGATGGCGCCCATTTTGGGGGCTGGGGCCGGTACGTGCATGTAGATTAAGATCCCGAAATTTCAGCCCTGCAGCTTTTATAGGTCTTGAAATGAAAGCGCGTACAGACGCACACACAGACACACACACAGACGGACACACAGATGACCCCTCGTCAGTATGCGTTTTTGCATTGCATAGCTGCAAAAAATGCATAAAAATCGTTTGATTTGTGAAGTGCCGGACGCTGATGGTGCTGTAGAGGTTAATTTATAGTCTCACACTTCTATTTCCTAGTTGCCTTTTTAGCGTACGAGCATAATCACTTGATGTTAATGTATGATCACATAGCTTTTCTTAATATTTGCTAATTTTAATTACCACAGTCGTCGTACTGACTAGTTTAAGTTGTGCTAATGGCAACAAACGTATACGACCTAATGGACCGAAAAAATTTCTTACCATTATAATAATTTTATTAATTTACGAATTTTTGCAATTCTCATCGCTTGCCTTCCTTTCTGTTTATCTTTTTTCATCCGTTTTTAAAATACTTTCTCATTTCATGAGCAAAACAAAGGTGAAGCTCCTGCTTCTTGGCTTGAATTTGACTTGAAAGTATATTATCCGTGTGAATTTGTACAAAACATTCAGCTTATTCGTGCCTTTTTCGCTTCGTGATAGGGCTAAGGAACGGGAATTCGCTGAGCAGCTCCGATCCATTGAGCGAGAGCTGGAGCGTAGAAGGGAGAAGAGGCGACCCAGCTTTTCATGGTTCGTTAAATCAAAGTTGTTCGTTCTGGTTTGGTTTTCTTTTGAGAGATTTTGTCTTCTGGCTGATACAGACTGAAAGAAGTGCGCACTCTCTGCCGCCAAAGGTTTAGCAAAAAACATCTAGCAGTATGAGGGGACCAAAAATTCTTTCCTGCACAACTTCGCATGGACTCGGAGCATTCTCGTAACATAATTAACATGGAATCCGCAGGCCATTAGAGCTTTTTCTTGAGATTTGCTGTTGCTTGAATATATGAAATCACCTTTTCGTGATCTTTAATCTTTCATGCTGCGCGGTTTTCTTTGAATAATTATTTTTCAGGTTAGCCTAGTAGATTTTGATGCTGATGGTAACCCAAGTGGAATAATACCTTTGATTGATGGTGGTACTGAAGGATTCAAGGGTAATTCACGAGTGATTTTGCCAACGATGACTGCCTGTATTGAATGTACTATTGATCTCTATCCCCCGCAAGTACTTTTATTTACAATCAGTAAAATTGAATAAAAGTTCAAAGAATTTACGGCCATTTCCGTATTTACTTTCTGTGAAAGGCCGAGGTGCTAGGAAATGTCATGAGTGATAGCATATGCCAACAGCAACGACCGATTGGCAGTGCTGCCGATCGGCTCCTCTTTTTGAATATTGCTTACAAGCAAGCTGATAGCGGTTTTGACACTTTGGCATGCAAAACAGTTGAGCATCAAAACGAATGAACAGAACGCAGAGGGGTCTCTTGTTCTGCTACCAGGATCGAATCGCAGGAAGGGAGAGGGGGGACACTAATATATTATAATAATCAAGAAAACCAAGAACTGCCTGAACAGGCAATATGAGGGTCCAATTTAGTGTAATGTCCTTTTAGGCCTGTATTTTACTGGAAGAGTCCTGAAATTGGATACAGTACCGCCCTGGTACTGATTCTGTCCATCCAGAGGTGATGTTTCTGCCGTTTTTTTTCACCCAATTGTTTTTTTTTTTCAGGTAAATTTTCCAATGTGTACAATAGCGAATACACCTCGACTTCCGGAGCACTGCATTGAATATGTAAAAGTACTGCAGTGGCCAGCCGACAAACCTTTCAACGGTTTTCTTTTTCTATGGCATTTGTTTAAACCCAAAAGCTAATCATCGATGTTTTTTTTAAAGACTTTTTATGCATCTTTTATAACAGTTCAATTCTCAAATCTTAATTATCACGATAAATCAGACAAAAAAATAAGTTAATTTAGAGTTTCGGAGGAGCAAATGCTTGAGTCTAATTTGCTCACAGCATGAAGAGGATATTAAGGGTATATATATATAAATATATAAGTAAACATATGTATTTATATAATTTCTACTCTCTTCATGTTTTGAGGGCCTGTCACCAAATGACGATATGGTTTTATGTTAAAAATGTTTGTGTCAAACCCCGCTTGGATGAGCACTATACATAAATCTACACGCATATATATATACGCGCATATGCATATATATATATGTATATATATATATGTATATATACATATATACACATATATATACACATATATATGTATACATATATATATATATACATATATATATATATGTAGAAGAGGAGAGGGCATTTTTTTACTGACCACCTGTTATTAATCTTACAGCTTCCTTTATAAAAAAATTGTGATGGACCAATTCATTGCGTGATTTTAAAATTATAAATGTGATTTTGGTAGCAACTATATAAAGCTGAAGTCAAAAATTATGAAAGAAACAGAAATTTCCTGGACAAAATGGAGCTAGCTTTAGCACTTTTAAACGATTACTGCAAAATTTGAAAGTATAAATATGCAACGGCTCATAGCCTGAAGTGCCACTTCGTGGTCTATAAATGACAAATTCCTGAAAGGAATCCATTTAGCCTGAGATAGGCAAACAATTTTATTAATAAATTATTGCTAAACTTAATTGTTTCAGGCGCAGCACTGGATACCGATAATCCGGAGCACGTTGAATGGGTGCTACAAGCGGCTTTGGAAAGAGCTTCAAAATATCGTATCAGCGGAGTTGATCTGAGGCTCACTCGAGGCGTTCTGAAGCGTATAATTCCTGCTGTTGCATCCACAAATGCGATCATTGCAGGTATTTATACCGTCAGCGACGTCTTTCTAGCTGTTTTGATTTGTGTGGTTGACAGATATAGTGTGGCGAAGGACAAAATTGTTCTTAGACTGCGGGTTGAAGGACTAATTCCGCTGTTGGGGACATAGGCGGGTCCTGGGCGGTTTTCTGGAAGGGAAGGGAGGGGGTTAACGAGGGTTTTAACTTAATAACCTATACCAGTTCCAATTTTC